GAGAAAAACAAAGGTCAGTTGTGAGATGAAGCCGGCTCTCATAAAAATCAATAACTGGATAAAAAGCTCAAAAGTCTGTTAACCTGGCATCATGGGGACAGACAGCTCAGGCTGTTGTTGGACATCACTCATCTGCAAAGAGAAAATGCTTATGGTGAAATCTTCAAGTTGAGCACCTGAAGATCAAAACTGTCATAATGGGTATCTGACTAACAGGATGTAAAGTAAAGAAATACCTTGGGAAATGCTTCCTTCATGCCATCGCCTTTCTCATCAGCCATTTCTATAACTTCACGGACCTGCTCAATGAAGGACTCTCGCTCACTCTCCAAGATGAACTCACTCTCAACCTGAAACAAAAAGCAAAAGAAGTTCTACTACTGTATGAAGGTTCCACAGAATACTCGTGATCGCTGTCACTGGTTGATTCAGCAGATATTACAAAGTAAAAAAAGACAGCAAGATGAGCTCTCTGCACTATTTAGCCCTGTCCCAAATGGCAATTTTTGGGCTCCGGATATTCAGCGGTAATAATCAGCGAATATGACATTGTGTAATGGGGGTAATGGGCTGACATTGCGCTGCAGCTAAAAGTATCTCTTTGCCCATCTGGCAGTATTTTGGGTTTTAAATTAAAAAGCTAGTGAAAGTTATTATGTAATATTTAACATAACAGACGAACAGACCATGGATCTTCATAACCATTTGCGTGCACACAAAATGTGCTACATTTCCATCACTGATGTGAGATCAACCGACAGTTTTACCTGCGAAGACGTCTCACTCTGTTGGAGTTGTTAGAACAACAGAGAAGCACTCAGTTCACCAATTATTCATTGGCTTGGTTTTTATTCAGTTGCAACAATTTCAGATTCAGTGGAATTTTGTGAGAGAAGTCAAGTAAAACTGTATACTCCATGAATATGTAGCATATATTATAAATGCACATAGAGCATATTTAATGTAACAAATGAACATTAGACAGTAAACAGTGTTTAGTGGCAAAAAATAAGAGAAACCCCACTACCATGATCTGTGCAATTTCCTCTGGATTATCACCATCAAGGTCAAATCTGAAGGTCACCATCTTCCTGTTGTGTGTTTCCAGCTGGCACTCTGCTACCCTGTCTCCCACATTAGAGATCTGCAAAACATTTGTTAAAACTGTTTACTGACAAAAATAATAAAAAACAAATATGAATGAATTCTTCATTTCACTTCAGACCCGTACACTGAGAACATTGAGCTTCGCCTTTGCAGTCTTCTCATGGCGGGAGCGACTGCGTACAGATCGCCGCTGGTAGCGCTTTAGTGAGCGCCCTTCATGTCGACCTCCAGATGTAGAACTTCCATCATTACCATCACTAAGACCTGAAGCAGCATCAGACAGGCAGCTGAAATACACATGGATCCATGAGAGGGAGAGAGAGAGACACACAGAGAGAGAAAGAGATCAGACAAGTTGTGTGGTGCTGGCAAACCCAGTTTTTTTGCATTGTTTTTTTTTTTTTTTTAACAAATAACTTCCTTCTCACCTTTCTACAGATGGTGGCACCAGAGGGGAGGATCCTGCTGGCTGCTCCACTGGTGTCGAATGGGTAACACTTGATGAGGCCTGAAACAGAAATCATGAATAAATCAAGTATTTCATATTAAATGCAAATCTCAAAATGAAAAAAAATGTTATTTGTATACTAATATTTGTAATAATTTTAATTTATTTTCACATGTATTTTTAATTTTCATAGTTTGTGTTTACTATTTATTGCAAATGTTATGATCTAAACCAGACCATCCACTAGATGGAACTGTTTGGCATGGATAAATTTGTTTGTGTATGTGGGTTACTGCAAAAGAAGCCATTATTCAACTCTCAGGCTGAGAGTAAATATTGCTATCCAATGGAGTTTGCACTTCATTTCCTTTTAAGTGTGGCCATTTTTCCCTGCGGTGTTTATATGAATATTAGTTGTGTTTGTACAGGTTACTGCTGTTCTATCAGTTTCCAGTTGCACCCATCAGGGTATTTCCAGCACTGTGATTTTCATATTTTTGTAGCTGTTATCAAATGTATTGCATTTGTTCCATACACACAAATTTATCTAATAGGGTATCATTTTCATGGAAGATTTTAAGCCCCAGGTAAAGCCCCCTGGCAACAAACAGCCAGAAGGATATGAAATCGCTTACATTTTGGTCAAAATTTAACAGTCATGAAAACAAACACTGTTCAATGCTCTCACATTTTAGTGGATATTTTGGTCTGTGGTGGTTTAAATGTGGGTGGGGAAAAAAAACATTCCACATTTCTGGAGCCAGATAAGTTCTGTACTCCTTATGTTACTCATATTTACTGGTGCTCTAAAACAAAACTTACATAAATGATGCATTTAATGCTACTTAAAATAAATCTATTAACAAATGTGTAAAATTTGTGCCCTAAAAATACTTTAAGGATGAATGTACTTTCCAGAAGAGAAACAATATAAGGAGGTATAAACCAAATGCTTCACATCTGACCCAGAAACAACCACCCACGCAAATTTTTGTGCTCTATAGAGTACCTTCAGAACAGAGAGGCACGAGGCCTGTTAGAGGAATTATAAGTGTTCTGCATTGAGTGGAGGAGACAAGATAGAAGGACTTGAATGACTGGCTCAAGACTAAGAGTCATGCAGAAAAAAAGCAGCATGCAGAGAAGAAACGTGGAAGAAAAAAAAAAAAACAGGGAGGGGACAGTTGTGGTAATGAGAGCTATGTCCACAGACAAAGGATAAAAAATGGATTTAGAAAACTGCAAACAAACATGGACAGCATGACCTCCCACTGTTTGATGGTCAAGCAAGATAGTGAAATTGTTAAGTTAAATACCTGTATATGTCAGCAAATACCTTAAAGCAAGAGCAGAGAAATTTGCATGCTCAGGTATGAGTAGGGGAGTGTGTGTGCGTGTGCGTTACCTGTGGCTGTTGAGCTCCAGTCTGTGCCTGTGGTAAAGTGTTGCTCTGAAGCGCAGTGCTGGTCTCTGACTGTTGCGGCTGTTGGGGTGCAGATGACTGAGATGATGGGGGTATCATCACTTGCTGGGTGGGAATCTATAAGAATAGAAGAGATAAAGATGGAGCGGCAAGAACAAGAATAAAATCTGAAAACCTGGTTTCTATCTAGTCTAAATTGTTCAGAGATTCACTTTGGCTCTGTTCCGATGCCACATGCACTTACCTGCTACATAACATACAGTAGCTCCAAAAAATGGGCCATTTATTTGTCCAGAAATCAAAGTAAAAGAAACCTTTAATGTCAACTGCAGTGTATTTTAAAGACATGTATATTGCATGTCAATCCAAATGACACTAACAAGGTTTTAAATAGCACTGGATATAATATTTTTGTTTGGATACAATAAATTCCATGTTTAAAGCCTACTACAACTAAGTCAAAATTTCTCAAACATGGAAACTGAGCATAAAGGCTAAGTCTGCCACAGAGATCGATACAGACAACATGTTTGTTTCGTTTCCCAGGACATGATATCTAAAAGGTTGAGGGTGTATTTAAAGTGGGAACAGGAAAATTGGTCATTTTATCTACCTGAGGGGGAAGCGATGGTTGGTAGTAAACTCCGTACTATAAGAAACAAAACATAAACCAAGATAAGAGTAGGACCCTTGGGAATAAAAAGAAAACAAAAGCAAACTAGAAAAAAACAACAGAAGAGTGTGTAAAACTCAGGGATTTGGAACATCAGCTGCTTTCAACACACCCACCTGAATCAGAGCATTTAGGCTTTAAAGGCTTACAATAGGCCTTAAAGCATCCTCTGAAAACTCTTTTTGCCAATACTGAGTGGTTGAAGTTAACATTTGCTGTAGTAATTAAGAAGCGTACTGAGGTGTATTCAGTGTACACTTACATTACTATTAGCTGTGTTGTTAGATGCAACAGATTCGTGAAACTTTTTGCCAAAGGTAACTGAAACAATGCTTTTCAGTTGGCACCAAGTTTCTCTTTAAAAGCCATTAAAACATGCAGTACAATGCATACCTGTGGAGTTGCCACCGGAACAGACTGGCCGGTGGGTACAACAGGAGTAATGTCAGGCTGGACACCTTGCATCTGGGGTTGGACCTTGTATACCAGAGAGAGAAACAACAGTGACTGTAGATTGCAGCAATTCCTATTACTAGCTGATCAGGTGTACTAACACAGTAAGGCTGTCTATACTATCTTCTTGACAATAAATTAGTAACGGCTGCTTTAGCAGTGGACTGTGAACAGAGAACTGCACATTCCATATGGGAAAGGATGGTGGCCAAATACACAAAATGTATAAAAAGAAATTTTGTCTCTATGTTAAAAGAGAACTGTATTAAATGCACACTTAATTTTGTGGAGCATATACCATGGGAAAAGCTTTTGATTGTCTTCAACACACAGGGTTATGTCCTTTTTTTAACATGACTCACCACTGGCAACTGCTGCTGTTGTGTTTGATCATTTTGTGTCTGTGGGCACGAGACCTGGGGCTGGGGCTGGGGCTGAGGGTGCTGACTGGGTGGGGAGCTGTACGACGTTCCAGGCTGAGGAAGCTGAGCCTCAGGGGGGACAGACGAACCATGCAGTCCGTCTCCCATGTGATTAACTGTAAAAGATTCATTTAGAAAGACTATAATTACATTCACTTTCAAAAATCAAACCATTTCTTATCATACAGTGGGCTATAGCTGTAGTGTATCTGACTATAAATCATCTTTGATACACACCTCCAGTGTGATGCAATTGTTGATACTGTTCATTCTCGAGCTCCTCTGACTCCAGTTGGATAGTGGCCACACTCTGACCCTGAGCTGGAACTGGCCCAGTGGACTGAGGGACATAAGGTCCTCCCTGTACCATACCAGTCAGTTGGGTTGACTGAGGAATGTTGTAGTTGGAGCTCTGAAGGCTCTGCTGAGATGCAGGCTGGGATATCTGTGAGCTGTGTTGGTTTGGTTTTGGAGGGATACAAGAGGCAGACTGTGGCCCTGGCTGGGACTGAGGCACCTCCGTTGTAGACTGTTGGCCTGGTTGCTGTGTTGCCTGTAACTGGCTCTGCAGTTCTTCTTCTAGCCTTTTATTCTCCTGATCCTCTCTGACCTTCAAGACAATCAGCAGCACATACATTCAAATCTCTGAGGAGACTACTACTGGGCAACATGTGACCATCACAGCACAATGCCATGCTGAGTAAGATACAAGTTCATGGAAACCACTTACAAACAATAATATAATATCAGCTACAGATATGATCAGCATGGACGCACCTTCTGCCGCTGTGCTCTCTTGCGACTAATTAGAGACACCCTGTCCTTAATGGCCTTTGCAATGGTCTTGTGGTCTCCTTCACACACATAACCAGACTCAACCTACAGTACAAAAACATGATGCAGAATTCACTAATGAACCTCTCAAAAACTGCTATGAAAACATTTTTGTCAGACTGATTCAAAGTTCAATTCACCATTTCCTGAGCCACATCCTCTGGAACATCTTTGATGAGGTCAAAAGAAAACTCAATAGCTTCGTTATCTTTGTACTTCCCCTTGAGTTTCTTTATATCCTCAATTCTCAACCAGAGCTTAATAGCCTCCATTTCTCCATCATCCTCCTCAGCCAACTCCACACGCACCCCAGTCTCCTCCTGGAAGAAGGCATGGTTCAGAAGATCCTTGATTGAATACCTAAATAGCCAGAGACAAATAGTAAGCAAATGTGTTTTCATGGAGACCTAGACTACCTTAAACATGTTAATTGAGCTCTTTTTAAGTTACACACCTTTCATCCTTGTTCTGGCGAATACATCCCTCAATGATCTCCTTCACTTCAGGACTGGCCACCTTGTCGAAGCTGCCCGGCTTCACCCCCTACAGGAAACACAGAATCATGAATGAGAACGGTTCTCATTCTCATTTTTCTTATTTTGGAAACTCCCCTGTCCCTGTTGGGTTTTCTTACATTACCCCCACAAAAATATTTGTAATTGTCCACAATTTTAACTAATCATGCTTAATCTTTCGACATGTTTTGAATGCATCACAAAAGTCACAGTCTGAAGAGTTTTCCTCTAAGAAAGAATATCTCCCCAGAAAACCATTAAAATAATCTCAAAAGGATGGTATACTTTCTCCCTACTGGCACTTAAAGATTACAACATGTTAAGTGATGAGGAGAAAAAAAAAAAGAGGATAAGTTAGCAGAGAACAGCTGATGAGAGGTGATGAATTGAGCAAATAGCAAAAGGAAACTGCCTGGTGTTACAGGAAAATGGAAGACTGACAGAGCTGAACAGCTGAGCCGAAATGACAGAACAGCCCATCTCCCCAAAGAATACGACTGTGACACTATCTATACACCACAGTATCACTTCAATTCTCATCTGAGCCAGATGTGTTTGACGTTCTGCAGTATAAGCCATTTGTAGCTCATAAAATGAACTCAACCTGATACTTAGCAACTGGGTAAGCAACAAATCCTCAACTGAATCACATGGTAAAGACTTCAGTATTTGGACTTTGCAGTTAATGATAAGCTATTTGTGTAGATTTCAAGGCTCAGTTTGTAGATAACAGTCTGGGAACAGTTTCAACCTCTTTATCTATGAGAATCTTGTAAGTGTATGAATCATCCATCCATTTTCCTCCGCTTATCCGGGACCGGGTCACGGGGGCAGCAGTCTAAGCAAAGATGCCCAGACTTCCCTCTCTCCAGACACTTCCTCCAGCTCCTCCGGGGGAATGCCAAG